ACCATTCCCAGAAGCTATGCTCAGTAAACTAATAATTGTAAGCTAATGCGACCAAACAGGACACACCTTCTTGGTCTTTACGTCTACGATCTAATAACCGTAAAAGATGGAAACAATTTGTTTAAACCCGTTTGAGTTCCCGTCTAATCCGGCAAAAAATTAGATTCTAAGACTCAGCATCAATGAAGGTAAAAAAATTTCAAGTCAAAATATTAATATGTTTCAAATAAAACCAATTCCACGAGTAATATCATCTCGAGAACGTTAATAATTTAGGATATAAATAGTTAGAATACAGCACAGCTGAAAATACGTCTCAATATTTGTATCCAATAAGCATAACATAAATATTAAAACAAAAATTTTCGGCGCGTTGATAGAGTTCTCAAATATCTGGAGAGTAAGATTGCTACATTGCATATTTACTTTGCGATAATCCTAAAGAATTTCTCTTTAACTTTGCTGAAAACATACCATAATAAATTACCATTACTACACATATCATGATATTAAGATATATTTACTCAATAAACCCTGCATAATCTATATAATATTACTAATTCCCATTAAGACCAGCATAACTAAATGCATATTATACATATAAATTTATATGCAACTCTTAGAGTTGTGGAAGCTCCAACTTAGTCATGAAGCAGGAAGGTAACCTATCATCTGTCCATGTGAGACCTCGTGGAAGCACATGAAAGAATTATTGTGGAATATTAGGAACGTACAATTTATAAGGACAGAATTGGCACCATTAGTGACAAAAATCAAACAAAAATACATAATTATGTTAACTTCAGAGGGACTTAAGTAAAAAAAATAAGACGGCTATTATCATAGTCACATGTACCTCACTACTTATACACGTCTGTGCCTTGTCCATATAGTGTAGATTACTATTATTGTCATCCAAAAGATCATCTAGACTTGGTGAGATCACGGACTTGTCTAGTTCGACAGAGGTTTGTAATAGTTGCATTTCAGAGATTCCTGCAGACATAGGTCTCATTGGCACTAATGATGAAACAGTAGAGTCAATCGTTATGCTTGTGGAAGTAGCATTGGCCAGCCCATGACGTCTTGAAGCAGTGTTGCTAGCACTGTTGTGACCCCCGCAGGGCGCCAGCACAGTTCGCTGTAACGCTTCAGGCAGTGGACGAACTGAAAGCCAGACAGGTGGAGCGTCTTCATTAGAAGTAGCGCTAGAAATGGCGGAAGACAGTGCACAAGTTCCAAGCAAATCGTTTGCAGTGATGGCCGCCTCGACACTGCTAGTGGTAGCAGAGCATTGACCAAGTATGGTTAAGGGGGATGCTAGTGATGTGGAAGCGATGGGCTGTTTATGATGGCGGGAGCTTGAGATGGGAAACGGCATAGTCCCATTAATGGAAGTCGTGACCTGTTCTCTGATCGAACCATCTATTGGACTAACACTAGGGCTTACTACAGGTAAGGCAATGTGTCCGACGTCAAAGCTTGGCCCGGAAGTCAGCTGAAGAGCGCAATCAGACGTCGAAGATGGGTTGGTAAGAGAAACAAGTGCAGTTGGGGTGGAGCAATTTCTGGGGATACGATGAAAATTAATGGTAGGGAGAAGTGATGGAACAAGAAAAAAAATGATGTGAGTAAGGATAATATGAAGGCCCATTTTGGTGTTATACGTATTTTTAAAAATGTATTTTTCGCATCGGACCTTGAAATTATGATAGAACTTTAAA